CAAGAACTCATATAGAACAAGAATAAAATTCCATGTCTACCAAGAGTACTAGCTACCTTCTCTTCCAATGACCAGTGAACACCAAATTGACTAGGGAAGCAAGGCTGGTAATTGTTAAGGCTCTGTTTGAATCAGTGCATTGTAAAATTTTAAATTGTTTGATCTGTACCAAAGTAGGTCCCATTAAAAAACCATCAACTGGAGTAGTGGGGAAATTAAAGCAAAAGAAAATAGAAGCCCAAAAAGCATCAAAATCAACACCACCAATCAACCTCTCTTGGCTTTTCATAAAGTCACTCATCTCCCATACTAATAAAGAAGAAATAATAAAAAAAAAAAAAGTAGCATGTGATGAATCCCACATTATAGACCACACTTTTTCCCACCCTATTTAAGTCATCTCTTGCATTACTCTATGTTCAGTCGGATGAGAGACCTCCCTAAACATCTCTAATCCTCCTCTTAATTGACCTCTCCCCACCAAAAATTTCTTCCCCTTCTAATCCTTCTTCTAATACCCATCTTGAATTACAATGGATCATATATACATAGAAAAGCTTCAGGCCATAAAAGCCAAGAACAAGTTCAAGAAGAATCAGTTTCTCAATACCCTTATATTCTATTGTTTAACTGCTCTGGCATGTATTCTATTATGTGTGAGTCCTGTTTGGCTTCCCTCTCTATACTCATCCATGAAGGTCTTTCTCTCTGTCTCTCTCCCAAATTTCTGGACTTACATTTTCAACCCCAAGTGCTTATTCATAGTGTGCAACGTAATTGTTGTCTTCCTCATTGGCGAATCAAAGCTTTTCGGTTCGAAGTCATCTCCGGCTACCGAAGTTTACAACGAGTATGTACGGAGGAGTGAGAGTAGTATCCGAAGGCTACCCGTTCTAGACGAGAAGAAAAACACTCAAGAATTGAAATTAGAGTTCCCTATGATGGTAGAAGGTGTGAATTGTGCAGGTGGAGAAGAAGTTAAAGAAGAAAAAAGGAGAGAATTTGTAGGTAGAGGAGAAGATGAAGAGAAAATAAGGGAAAGAGCAGTGGAGGATTTTGACATAACAGAAGAGTGTTACTTGCCTGCTGATGAGGAGTTAAACAGAAGGGTTGAAAACTTCATTGCAAGGGTGAAGAAACAGAGGAAGCTTGAAACTGGATTACTAGTTTACAGCACTTAATTATTGAGAAAAGAACAAAAAAAAAAAAAAAAAAAAATTCTATGTCAAATAACCATGAGTAATTTAGGGTGTAGAGATAGAATGCAAGCTTTTTAGTTTAGTAGTTATGTTAATTACTTGCAGCTTTTGATCTTAAGAGTAGAGAAGAGAGACAATTTTGATGATGAAGTGATAGAAACTTTTTTTTTTGTCATTAATTCATGTCCTCTCCAGGACAGAATTTTTGGCTGAAAATTGGTTCCATTTTTGTCCAGGCCAGGAGCCCCATGCATATATACATGCATGAAGACTGATTTGATTTTATCCTCTAGTGAATTTTTGCAAAATGCAAAATGCAAATATTCATAGTTCATCATGTGTTTGTAAGTGTTAATTAAAAACCCGTACATCTATACTACTAATTAAGTCAATTGTCTTTGAGGCTTTTTACATTTAAAATCTTTGAAAATATTTTTTTCTCATAAAATATATAGGGATATTATTGTAACTTTTGGTTCATCAAAATTAGACAATACGGACATTTCACACTAAACCCTTCTCACTTTTTAAACCTCTCTTCCACCATTTTTTCTATGTAACTTCTTTATTTTCTCTATAATATTTTATCATGATTCTCTCTTTCTATGAAAACACGTAGGTAAGTGGATGGCTTATCTTGTGGTTCACTATGAATCCCAACAAATATTTGCTAGCCTTATCTACTCACCTGTCACCAAGCACTTACAAACATGATAAGCTGTAAATGGGCATTACTACAGGGACACCAGATTTTGACATCTAAGATTACATCTGCTTATTTTATTGATTGGAAACCAATCATAACAGTTGTTGAAAAAATATTATTCCATTTCTGCCCCTCATACCACTTTTAAAAAGTAGATGTAATCTTTTGATGTCAAATTTTGGTGTTATTCTAGCAAAACTCGCTGTAAATACTTGCATTTTGCAAAAATTCACGGTCTACAAAATAGGAAAATGTGGTTAAACTTTAAAGTCCCACCCAAATCAAACCAAACTGATTAGAAGATTTAGGAAGGAGCTTGATAGTTGAGATTTAAATAATAAAAAGCGGCTCCAATGACCTTTGTATAAACACTACTCTTTCTGTTTTTTTTTTTTGTTGGGGTGTGTGGTCATGTGGCCCATGCAGTGCAGCATTATTTTAGTCCCTCTTGTAAAGAGTGAAAAAGCTATAAATAAGTTCGTGGTAGGAGGTGTTTATTGAACGTCTGATGATTAGCTTTTTTAAAATTGAAAAACAGATCAACGGTTGATGCTATTCCCTTAGCAGAGAAGATAATCCCCATAACCATATTGATATGATGCAGATCAGATGGGGTTAAAGATTGGAAAAGCTGAATTGTGATTTACTATAGCAATTTGTGGAATACCCTAGAGAAGAGAACCAACATAAATAGGGCTATGTACGTTACGTAGTGGTGTCAAACTGTCAATGGGTATCCCGGAACGGAACCAAACCAGAACCGATAATGATATTATTTCAGTACTCGAATTGGAACTGGAACCGTTAAGAGCTGGAATAGTTAGTATTATAATTTGTTCTGGTTCTAATTTCTTTGGTTGATAGGACCTGATACCTGAGAACAAAAATTGATTTTTTTTTTTTCCTATCGGTGGAAGAATGGTTAGTTGTTGGGAGTTAGAAGTTTTGTAAGCGGGTTTGAACTCTAAGTTGTAGGATCAAACCCCCAATTATTTTACCAACTCTACTGAAAGACACTTATTACTAGAACTGAATATAATTTGCAACCAACAAAAACAGCGACAGATTTATTTGATAGGTTTTAGTTTTGGGCAATTCAATATAGAAAAATTAGAACCGAGTATGAGAATAGTTCTTTTTTCTTATGTCTTTACTTTTAATTAGAACGAGTAATAACCTCAACATAAAGTAAAGATAAATTAAAAGAACTGAAATAGATTACTCAAATTATTTGGAGGAAATTTTAAAAAAAGTTTGCATCACTTTGAAAATAATATTATATCATTAGACCATGCTGTATTATTAGGATGATGATGATGATAACATCAGTGTATTAGTTCGAGACGCAAGTGAATGGCGGCTTGTTTACCCAAACACACCCTAAACAATCAAGCAGGTCATCAAATGGTTCTATACTACTTCTACGTGTGCAAGTTTGAAGGTTGGGTCGACTCTGATTTCACTACTTGATCCCACCCAACAAAAGTTTTGGTCTAGATTTTGGTGTTCACCCACGCACATAAGGTCCCTCCTTTTTATACAAGTTTTTGATGTAATATGATCTTTGCTTTTTTCCATAAGGGAGTGTTGATTATGCCAATGCTTCGGGGTTATGCTCTATGAAGCACGGATATGGTGAGAGGACACTGACAAAGACATAATACGAATACTATTTCCTTACAGAAGTGTTCGTGCTTCATAAGTTAGAGCAAGGCCAGTGGAAACTGGAATCAACAGTTGACTCGCAGAACTCTTCCACGACGCGAAAAAGTTCCGTTATGCCCAACGCTTGACCTCCCCTCCCCCCTCCCCTTTTTTCCTTTCTCTTATTTCTTCGCGTAACTGTCGCGGGACTCTTTCGCAATTTTTCCTGTCGCGTAACTGTTGCGCGTAAGGGTACTCTTACACGAGTACCCCTGAACCCTTACCACCACCCCAGACTAAGGGTTAAGTTAGAGGTTCTGAAGTTCAAGGGGACCTACTGCCCTTGATTTTTAGTTCAGTTAAGGGTTTAAGGGTACCAATTAGCCCTGCCCTTATGCTTTTGAATTCCTACGAGGATACGACAATATAAGTCTTGACTCTTGAGTATTGAACTCACAACATACTCATAATGAGAGGGGGACTAATCAACTGTACTAAGTGATTATTATATTATTAAACTAAAACTTGGTTGTTATATACAAAATTTTGGAATACTTTAAAGAGTACTTCTTTTTTGTTTTTTTTAATGAACGAGCAAAATGGCATAAAAAACTGAGTGAAACTACTGATTTGAAAAATATTAAAAGATCAATCATCGATAATTGTGAATACTCGAATAACACTAGATTGAACACAATCTTCTAATAATTTCAAATTTATTTAAATTTATTTGATAGAAGCGAAATTTAAACCCAAGTTTAACAAAACATAGGATACTTGCTGGTTATTATTAATAGAATATATAGAAATTTATTAAAATAACTAGGTTAGGGCAATGGGTATGAGAAACCTCAAATTCAAGGGTTTCTCACCTCAAACTGTAGGGATAGTAGTTGGCAAGAGCCATGGTGGAACCTTAAAAAAAAAAAAAGAAGGGGGTTCTAATAGACAGATCTAATCGTCCAACGGTAAAGAAAATTTATCAATTGAGATTTGTGTTCCATGTTGAGCCGTTGAAGGTTTGGTTGAATGACTGACCAATCTGAACAGGCTCCATTTGCCTGCCATGACTTTGTACATAATCCAACGGCCCAAGGTCAGTCAGGTCACCAGACTCACAGTCACAGCAAGTTTTGGTGTAGCGAAAAGCCAAACATCAACCCCCAAGCGCACTTTAGTACATGGTGTAGCGTCCGATCCCCTGCTTCCAATGAAAACCTAAAGTCTGCGAAGCTTGGAATTTTTTAAAACGGACTTTCATTTTGTCTCCTCTCTCTCCTCTAAAAAACCAGCCTTTCGGGGATCTCAAGGGACTTCCCCTTCGATGCCTCCAAAGCTCTTTCTCTTTCTCTCTCTAGAATTTTCAACTCCATAAACAGGGGTTTGAAGCAGAGTTCTTTCTTCTGATATCTCAGAGATTCATTGATTGATAGAGAGAGAAAAAGAGCGAGATGGCGACCCTTTCTTCTCCAAGCTGCCACTCATCTTCTTCTTCGTCTTATTCTCGTGTTGCCCCTTCTTCATCTTCTCCTTCTTCTTCTCTGTCTGGGAACCGTGGACGTATAACAGTTTCTTCGGTTCCTAAACGATTTCTGCCGAAGAAGATCTCTCTTCCATCACCTAGATATTGGAATGTCACTCACATGCAAGATGGTTAGTTCCTTTCTTTCTTCTTCATCTTTCGGGATTTTGGGTTTTCTAAAGTTTCAATTTTTAGCTGATTTCGTATTGTTTTGTCGTCTCATTTCAAGATTCTAATGTTTTTTTGTTAGTTTTTAATCTTCATCTGCTTAATTCCTGTTATTTGTTCTTCTCTTGTGTGTTTTTCTCTGTTCTTTTTCGGCTTCACTTATTACACTCGAGTAGTTTTTATGTTTTGCATCTGAGTTTCGGGTTCTGGATTTCTTCGTATATCTTCTTTCTGTAATTTCCTCATATGAATTCGGTTTATCTAATTCTTTTAAAGTGTTAATTCACTCTGAGATTTTAGCTGGAGGAAATATTAGATTGTTGTTCCCTCTTTTAGGTTATTAATTGGAATAGTTAAATGGGTACAGGTGCAGTAACTGCAAGAGCACCCCTCCTTGCAAATGAAACTCCATTGAAGGAATTGAAAGATGGGTTGTTGTCAATTACTTCTGCGGACGAAATTACTGATGTGGCAGGTTCTAAACTAGATGAAAATGAGACTGTTAGTATTACTGTGGTTGGGGCATCCGGGGACCTTGCCAAGAAGAAGATATTTCCTGCGCTTTTCGCCCTTTATTATGAGGATTGCCTCCCCAAGGTTTGGCTTGATTTATTTTTTGTGAACCTAATATATCTGAGCAATTTTCTATTTGAATGAACTTGACAATGGTGTTTCTTGCATGTTATAATAATACAATTTTAATGGAACTTGCGTACTTGGTTCTGTGGCTGCAGCATTTTACTGTATTTGGTTATGCTCGGAGTAAGATGACTGACGCGGAACTAAGAACCATGGTTAGCAGGACGCTTACTTGCAGAATTGATAAAAGGTCTCCAATGCCCTGAAATTTATTCTTCATTTGAGGTTTATTACTGTGTGGTCGCATGTTCTGCTGCTTATGGAAGATCAGGAGTTTCCTATTATACTCATTGTGTTTAATGTAGAATTTCTTCTCATTTTCAGGGAGAACTGTAACGAGAAAATGGAGCAGTTTCTAGCAAGATGCTTCTACCACTCTGGCCAGTATGACTCAGAGGACAATTTCACTGAGCTAGACAAGAAGCTGAATGAGCATGAGGTAATGTGAATGTGGTTCTGATGACACGTTTCAAACGTGATCAAGTGGAGGTTCTGTCTTTAAGAGTAGCCAATAAGTTGGTCCTGCTCCCACTTTGATCAAACTTAGTAGAAAGTTCTTCTGTCCTATAACTTACTTTAATCAAAGAAACTACTTGCAAGGGACTCAGGTTTGTTAGAATAGTGCATTTTGAGTTGGATCTTAAAACCATAAATCTTCAATTATGACTATACTGCAAATATTTCTAATTATCTCCTGGTTGATTGATGATATTAACTTTAAGTGGAACCTAGTAACATAAAGTGTATGGCATACATGGAGAACTATGTATGAATGTGTAACTACAGCCCATCAAATCCTCATAAATTTGAGGTAGGCCTCAAACAGATTTGATTTTGATGCTAAGAACATAGTTTTCGGTTTTTATGTTCCAAAATGGAGTTCTATACGAGAATATTGGATTCTATTTTTATAACATGGTTTGATTTCATCATCTTGATCATCTTAGCCTTGTTCCAAAATCTGTTAAATGATTTAGGTACTCCCTTCAGTCTGTCTAGTATCAGGCATACTGTAATAAAACCAAAAGTAATACACGTGGTTTCTATCTGTAGGATGGGATCTCTGTGAAACTAGCCAGTAGTTCCATTATCTGGGACTCGTACACATTAGTCGAAATAAAGGTCATGGAACTTCATGTCAAAGAGGAGTTTGTTTTGACTAGGAGGAGAATAATCTGTAAGGAGTGCTAAACTGGTAGATTGTTGATAACAGTGGAATTTTTCTTGTAGAATTATAGCATGCAGTTTCTATGTTAAGGAAGACTGAATAATGTGTTGGCCAGAAAGATACAATTGATGTAAAGTGGCATTTCTAGTGTTTTACACTTTTACTTGATGAAATGGGACAAGTAGAATTTACTTGCATATTGCGCTGCTTGTAGTTCTATTTGAAAGGCCTGAGTTGTGTCATTTCTTATTGTCAAGGTATCTTTCTATTTACTTTAATTTTGACAATGAATAATTGGTTATACAGGGTGGAAGGGTTTCAAATCGTCTTTTCTATTTATCAATCCCACCAAATATATTTATAAACGTGGTAAAATGTGCAAGCCGCTCAGCATCTTCTTCTAATGGCTGGACGCGGGTTATTGTTGAGAAGCCCTTTGGCCGAGACTCTGAATCCTCTGCAGCTTTGACAAGAGGCCTGAAAGAATACTTAGTGGAGGATCAAATTTTCAGGTTGGTGTTAACCAAACTAGAATATTTCTCTTTAGAAATGTTATGAACTCTAACTTGAGAACTGTTGTATTTGGTTTACAGGATTGACCACTATTTAGGGAAGGAACTAGTGGAGAACCTCTCCGTGCTCCGCTTTTCAAATCTTATCTTTGAACCTTTATGGTCAAGGCAATATATAAGGAATGTACAGTTTATCTTCTCCGAAGACTTCGGCACTGAAGGACGAGGAGGGTAAGCTGAGCTTTTAAATTGGCTTCCACTTGGGTCTGATCTTCTGCAAGAGTTTATGAACTCTTCTCCTTCATATTTGTCCATTCAGGTACTTTGACAGTTATGGGATCATAAGAGACATAATGCAGAACCATCTGCTTCAAATACTAGCCCTTTTTGCCATGGAAACTCCTGTCAGCTTGGATGCCGAAGACATCAGAAATGAAAAGGTTATTATTTTCAAGAAAACAACATTTGCTTCAATGTAGTTTTATGATTCACTTTCTATTAACTTGTCTGGTTTTTGTCAGGTAAAAGTTCTACGCTCAATGAAGCCTTTGCAACTTGACAACGTGGTGATTGGGCAGTACAAGAGCCACACTAGGGGGGGTGTTAAGTATCCAGCCTACACAGATGATGAGACAGTACCTAAAGACAGCCTTACCCCGACATTTGCAGCAGCTGCACTCTTTATAGATAATGCCAGATGGGATGGTGTACCCTTTTTAATGAAAGCTGGCAAAGCATTACATACTAGAAGGTATGTTCAAGCTGGAAAGAAATCTAAGGTGCTAGTTCTCTACTTGACTTGGTCTTGAAGGTGATATGTGACTCTAGTCTAACATTAGCTACCTGTACTTCAGGACCCATCAAATATAGATCTGGTCCCTCAGATATTCTCAAAAAGTTGTTTGTTTTCTTTGTTCTGGTTTGTGCATCTTTCCCATTTCATTGTAGGGGAGGGGTTGCCAGATATGTATCTATTCAATCTGACATTTTGTCAAAATGGAAATGGCTGTATCTTTTGCAGAGCAGAGATCAGGGTACAGTTCAGGCATGTTCCTGGTAATTTGTACAACAGGAGTTTGGGAATGGATCTTGATCGAGCAACAAACGAACTTGTTATTCGAGTGCAGCCTGATGAAGCTATTTATTTGAAGATCAATAATAAAGTCCCTGGTCTGGGGATGAGATTGGACCGGAGTAATCTGAATCTTCACTATGCAGCAAGGTACGTAACGGAAAGTATCTAATATAAGAATCTATGATACTCAAAGTTGAGGAAACCTGGTTGCTACAATAGATGATGATTTGTTTAGAATGGCCTCTGGTAATTAGGTCGCTCAAATATCGTGGGCCATGAGCAACCTACAGTGTTTGAAACATGTTGAAGAACACAACTCGAATCCAAAGGCTTATGTGAATGTGAACATGGCTAATACCTTTGTTGGCTACCTTTGATAAATTACGCAGTGAGCCTGGTTTGGTCCTCTCCGGGCTTAATTTGGTGTTGTGAACCACCACCTATTATATTGCTCCTGGGTTTCATTTAGTTTTGTTGGGTGTGCCCACTGCCTGTTAGACACTTGTTATATACATTGTTGCTCATCTCTTTTAACAGTTTAAAATTTTAGAGTAAGTGGTTGTCAACATGGTATCTGGAACTGAGTTTTGCTAGAATAACACCAAAATTTGACACCAAATATTACATCTCCTTTTTAAAAGTGGTATGAGGGGTTGAAATGGAATTAATGCTTTTTCATTATTGGTTTTCAATCAATAAAATAAGCAGATGTAATATTTGGTGTCAAAATTTGGTGTTATTCTAGTATTGCTCGAACTGAACTGGATGTCTTTGAAGGTCGTTGGTTTGAATGTGCAGCCTCGTTTTGAGGAGTGTTGTTGGATGTGGGCCCACTCCTTGTTAGACCCATAGACCCTTGTTAAATACATTGTTACTCTCTCTTGACAGTTTGGGCTTTCAGAGTGTGGCTGCCAACAAGTAGATCCCATAACCCAGTGTTTGAACCCTTTCGATCAGAGGGATGCGCTAAATTATATTTGCTTATGTCTACGTGGTGCAATCTCTTTCCCATTCTCTAACAGAATGACATTTTGATTTGCTAATGGAGATTTTTGTTTTGGTTCTACATAGGTACTCCAAAGAGATTCCAGACGCTTACGAGAGGCTACTACTCGACGCAATTGAAGGGGAGCGGCGACTATTCATCCGGAGTGACGAGCTGGATGCTGCTTGGTCACTCTTCACACCTCTATTGAAAGAGCTGGAGGAGAAGAAGACAATCCCAGAGTATTATCCTTACGGGAGTCGGGGACCTGTTGGGGCTCATTATCTTGCAGCCAGGTACAATGTTCGATGGGGTGACATTAATACGGAGCACCACCAAGAGTGAAATGGGGGTTGAGGTCGTAGGAACTACCCAAAGCTGCATGTAGCTACGATGATTCATAAAAAAAAAGGAAAAAGAAAGAAAAGAAACAGTAATAAGTTGTTGGAGAGATTGACGTGGAGTGGAAAGAATATACTACGGAATCACAGATTGAAGATCTATCATAAGAGGGAAGATGGGTGTGTTAAGAGATGTAATCATAAAGATAATTTAAAAAGGAATAGATAGAATTTTCTTTTCAGATTTCTGAGTAATCTGAATCTCTCCTTGTTTATTGTTTATTGTTTATTGTTTATTGTTGTTTACTTCTTGTTCAAAGCTTGTTAAGCAGGAGATTCAGATTAAAAACAAGTAAGCTCTTTTCTATTTGTCTGAGCGATTAAGGAGATAAAAGCATTTTTTACAAAACAACCCCCCTCTGCATTTTAAAGTAATTAATTAGTGTAACCACTATATTTTCGGATTTTAGAAATACGCCCCGAGAACATCGATCTTTGGGTTGGCCCACTTGTTATGCAAGATGTTCACCATTGGATTATCGTGAACAACTTAAGAAGAAAAATGACAGCTCCATTGGAGGGCCAAAAAGCTTTATTGAATGTAAAATGTAATGTAACAGAGTGGAACCCAGTACAAAACCATAGGATAACCTGACAAATAGGATGGCCTCCCTCTCCACTTCTAAATCCATGGACAAATATCCTGGGATCGGTCGCTCTCTGGTCCCGCCCTCTGAAAAGGTTTGCTTACATCTTTAACTCTCCAATTCTGGTCGATCAACAACAGAAAGACTAAAGCGTTTCCGCGTATCAATCACCCAAGCATCTGGCCCAACTGAACTGTTCACAATCATTGAGGTACCCGGATAATCAAATCAACGGTTGAGATGGTAAGGAGTCACCATCACGAGTTCTACATGGTGTCTCTAATCTTTCACATGAATATGTTATATTTTTTTTGGGTGCTGTTAAAGGGATTCTCAAAAATGTTAGGGGGGTGGACAGGATAGGGGGTGGACTACATACTTCAAAATGGTTGGGGGGATGGACATAGTTTTACTAAGGGGGTGGTTATCAAAGATTGTCTAGGTATATTTCCACCCAATTCTAAAAATCTCAAACCTAACCCTAAATTAACCTTTTTCCTCTCTAAAAAAAAACAGTCTTCTTCTCCATTATTCTCCCACCGTCACAGTCTCTTTTTCTCTAAACTTCTCTCCACCATTACCAACTCCTCCATTCGACCACCGGTTATCGAATTTAATCAAGGAATTTCAAACAACAACAGTCGATCTCTTCTAGATCGTTAGAAATTTCTAGGTTCGAGTTAAGATTCATGGTGAGGACTAAAAACCCATCAATGGCTCCCAAAAGGTAAGAGTGGTTAAGTCACTAGAGGGTTTAAAATTTCTGTCAAAACTCTACCGCTGTCAGTTGAGTTTTAAACCAAAATTCGACCACTGGTGGTTGAGTTTTGAAGAAAAACTCAACCACTGGTGGTTGAGTTTATATCTAAAACTCAACAAGTGGTCGTCGAGTTTCTAAAAACTCTCAACCAGTGGTGGTCGAATTATTTCGAAAAACTCTATCTTCCTCGTACGAATTAGGTACGAAAACTGGAAATTTTGATCTCATTAAAAAATATTTGAAACAAAAAAAAAACATACGAATAAGATGTATTACCTCATTACTATTTGATTGAGAGATTTTCATTAGAATTGAGGATCCCAAACCCTCTGAAAAAGAACATTTAGGTTTTTGGGAATCCATTAATGGTGAACTTTGCTTCAATTCATCTTCTTCCATTAATGGCGTTCCTTCTTGAAATTCTTCATCCTTCATAAAGTATCCCGCCAATAACGATTTCGATCCTTGGTGGTCGAATAAAAGTTTTAGAGAGAGAAAGTAGTTGGAGAGAAAGAGTAGTTTAATGGAGAATTAGAAAACGTGTTGGAAAGAGAAAGGGGGTTGGAGGTGGTAATTTAATTTACACCCACACCACCCCCTTAGTAAAAATTAGGAAAATATTATAAGGGTGATTTTGGGTTAAAAGTCCATTTAACTTGTCCACCCCCCTAACATTTTTGAGAACCCCTTTAATAGCACCCTTTTTTTTTAATACTTAACTTACACCTCTTTTTAGGCCTGTGTTGTTATAAGGGCTAATTATTGTGAAAATGATATTTCCACCTCCATGATCATATCCTCTTCCAAACAACCCATGCGATGCTCAATTATAGGGCATAGCACGACCTGTTAAAACAATCATTATTGCTCCATTAATAATTAATTAATTAAAGTTAGGTTGTTGCATGTCAAAAGATCATTGGAAATATCAGGACGCATTACTCTTTTTATTTTGGCTTTTAAGTTAGGTTCTTCTCTTATTTTAATAATTTTGTTACAGTGCATCACTTAGTATGCAATGCAAGTACATTGGACCCCTACAAAGGCAGGTAGGTGTGGGCTCATCAGGGCAAGGCCCATGGCTTACCTCAAACCCAGAAACAAGTAAGGTGGGTTTGAGGTATAAGCCATCGACAAGGCTAATGAGGAAAGGATTTCGCAGAAGTTATCTGTGACACTAATTTTTTTTATTTTTTTATTTACTAAAAACACTTTTTTTAAATTATTTTATTACTTAAAAAAAATGTGTCGCAGAAAAGTTCTGCGACTCCCTTCCTTTAGTTTTTTAAATTGTTCAATTGCAGATAAGTTCTACGATTTTGCGTCGCAGAACATTTCTGCGGCTACCCTTAATTCCTTAAGCCTCCATCAAACTACCGGACCAGGTGAGGGGTTTGGAGTTTAAGGGTACCCATTAGCCTTGAAATTTTATTGGGTTTGGGGTTTAAGGGTGTTCATTGGCCTTGCCCTAAGATGGAGAAAGTAAGGTGGTGTTTCTTTTTAAGTTTTTAGCTGAAAGCTCATCTGAAAACTGACTTGTGATTTCAAAATGATATTCAAAGTTCAAACTGTTTGTTTGTTTGTTTGTTTGTTTTCTTTTTTATTTATTTCCGTTAAATGAGTCGCTGAATTCAAATCTAACTCATTTGAAAAACCCAAAAAAGTATTTAGCCAACAGAAATTGAGCTGAATTCAAAATGAAAGTCATTAAAAAGTCAGATAAAAAGAAGTCAGATCTGTGGATCTGTACGCAGAACGGACCAGATACATCAGGGCCATAACAGAGCGGTCAGGTGTAACCTCGAGTCAATGTGATAGTGATATCAGTCTTAACAGAGACGAACAGGATTGTTTTGGTGAAAATAGGAGCGCTCTTTACCTTCAGTGTCTCGCGGGACACCAAATCATAATAACATCGCCTTGAACATAAACGATTGAATTATGCCCGTAATGTCAGGGGTGCGGTGGTCTACTGTAGCCTGCCGAGTCGACCATCAAATCCTGAACGCTGATTCTACTTGAAAATGGAGCTCAACAAACAAATCCATTAATAATCTAACGGTCAAAAAATTTGGTATGAATGACGTAGCGTGCATGTCTTCTTTGGAATCATTTTTATCTATTTTCGGGATGGTTACTCCAACCACCTTTCTAACTCTTTATCCTAAATTTTGTTGTTTTTATTACTTGCTGATGCAGGAAGCCTCCTTAGAGAGAAAAATCTCAAAAACAAACCCTTTTTTAGAGAGAGAAAGAGAGAAATCATAGAACAACCAGAGGTGAAAGAAAATGGGGACTGAAAACCCTACAGCTACAGGAGTAGAGATATCGGAGCCGTTGCTTCTTGAACCTGAGAAGGTCAGGGACGTCGATTTCGAGGAAATTCCACAATGGAAGGATCAGATTACGATCAGAGGTTTGGTAGTGAGCGCTATCTTGGGGACTCTGTTCTGTATCATCACCCACAAGCTCAATCTCACTGTTGGGATCATCCCTTCTCTCAATGTCGCTGCCGGATTGCTTGGTTTCTTCTTCGTCAAGTCCTGGACCAGTTTTCTATCAAAATTAGGGTTTTCTGTTGCTCCGTTTACTCGTCAGGAGAACACGGTTATTCAAACTTGCGTCGTCGCTTGCTATGGCCTCGCGTTTAGCGGTGATTACCTTATATTTCCCTTTCTTTAATACCTTTTTAACATGTTCATGATGTTGAAATTTGACTTAAATCGTATAAGTAGTAGTCAATTTTTCAATATTTCATCGCAAATTTGGTTCTTTTTAGTTTCATAGCCTGTTAAATTTTAGGCTTTTGTATAAAAGATTCAGGCTGTCGACCAGAAAACTTGATAATCCTGTACAAGAAGTGTTTTCTTTGATTATGTTTGCATACTACAATCTGGATGCTGATCACAGTACTTCTTTAATCTGTTTGATTGGTCTTACGATTCTCTGTTGTGAAGCTGTGATTTTATTCCATGTTATCTCTTATGTTCACCTTTTGTATGTTTGGCAGTGTAAAGGTTCTGTTTTTTTTACTGTCATAAATTCATTGCTAATTGATCTGTGGTTACTGATTGCATATGTTACTGATAACTTTGACAGGTGGATTTGGATCATATATGATTGCAATGGACGAGAAGACGTACAACCTCATTGGTGCTGATTACCCAGGTAACCGGGCCGAAGATGTTAAGAACCCAGCCCTGGGGTGGATGATTGGCTTCATGTTTGTCGTCAGTTTCCTTGGATTGTTTAGTCTAGTTCCCCTCCGCAAGGTATTTGGCCTTCTGGTTATAGACTTATTACTGTTTCAGTTTACAATGACGGTGTCTTTTGTGTCTACTGATGTACTTCCAATTGAGATGACAAGCAAAGAAATTGGTACTTATCCTTTTGGATGACAAGATTAGTTTTGCACTGCAGGCGAAGATGGTCACGTGGCATATATTTATGAGCTAGAATGCTGATTTACGGTTTAAAAGCTTGTTGGAAATTGGTTTCTATTCATTTCAAGAGACTGATTTGATATTTGATGAATAAATAGAAACTATACTTGTCCATTACATTATATGTTTTTGTTTAGAACCTAAGCAGTTCATG